GTAATCGTCACTCCTGGCCGGGCCTGGATAACTGTGTCTGTTCCTGGCACCCGGCTGAGCTTAGATCATGAGACCTACCCTCTGGGCCCGAGCTAAAGGTCAGGCTGACAACACACCTGCCTGCGGCAAGGTATGTTTCCAGAGCGTGACTCTGCCGAGGCCGGTGCATTCAGAAGGCAATCAGCTCAGGGGCTGTTCCCAGGCGCGCTCTCCACTCCTCCGCACATGCCTACTCGGACTCTCCGGTGTCCCCCGCCCACCCCTGCACGGAATAAGTCCACAGTTCCCTGCAGGCGTCAGTGTGTGAGCACAATAAACCACTGGGAACAAGAGTCACCTGCACAGCGGGAGGGACCTGCCATCTGAGCTCTGTCCGGAGCCTGCGACATCGACAACGCCCGTCAGGGGTCAGGGCTGAGGGACAGCGAAGCCCTTCCCACGGAGGATCCTGCTTAACTGAGGCTCCAATTCCTGAGATTAGGTGGCAATGCAGGTGGGAGGGTCACGTGGTGCCAGGGTCACATGTGCCCGGGTCACATGGTGCCCGGGTCACATGGTGCCCGGGTCACATGACCTGCCACCTAGACACCTGCTGCAGAGCCTGAGGGTCCCGCCCAGGAAGGTGCTGCTCAGGACCCCAACCTGCGTGTGCAGGAGGCCCTCCCCCAGCCACACCCCTCGCACTGCACAGTCCCAGGCCCTAAGCCAGGCAGCTGCGTGCCCTCCTCCTCCCCACCTTGGGATCCTCTTACCACCCTCCAGACAAGCCCTGCCACGGCCAGCCCGCACAGAGAGTGGGCACCATCAGGGGCCGGCAGGATTCCCTCCCACCAACTTCCAGCCAACGCGTCTCCGGAAGGAAGGTCCTGAGTGCAGCTGCTCCGTCGCCCCCGCCACCTGGGACAGCCCGCACCGCTGCGGGGGCCCCTCTCCCAGGAAGTCCGGGCCCGAGCCTGTCCCTCAGCACCTCTGGGGGAACGAACGTCCCGCGCCTCCCACCCGGAGCCCTGGAGCAGGTCCTGGGGGCCGTGCAGCCGGTCCCCGGGGCCGTGCCGTGCCGTGGGGATGCGGGGGAGGCAGCGAGAGGCTCCCAGGCCGGGGGCTGGGACAGGAATGCACCATGGGATCCTGGGCGGTGCCCACAGCGCCAGTGCCCAGGCCCGGCTGCCCCACAGGCAGAACCGTGGGGAAAGGCTGGTCCAGCACCGTGTGACCTGGGCTAAGCCAGCTCCCCTGTGGGGCCTCAGTTTCTCTCCCCGTGCAATGGGGATAACAGCACCTCCGGGCTGTGAGGAAGGTGGCAGGCTCATCTCTCCACGCCTTCCTCACCACGGGGCAGGGGAGCACTGAGAGGACGTGCCCAGCGCTCTGAGGACAGGCACAGCCTGCAGTAGGGCGTGCCCTGTGCCTGGGCCCCAGCCACCCCAGAGCTGAGGGGCCCTTCTCAGTGCCTGTGCCCCAGCCCGGCAGCAGGACGCTGAGGGGCAGCCAGCAGAAGGCACAGGCAGGGTCTGGCAGACGCTAAGCCCCGCCCAGCGCCGAGCTCTGTCCACTCATGGGGGGTCCCGGAGGGACAGGCCGTCCTCCCGGCTCCCTGCCGGTCTGGAGCCGCCAGCTGGTCGGCAGGGCTGGCCTTGGGCCCTGGTCTAGCTGGTGGTACCAGCGGGCTCCTCCCCACGGGCACAGCGCCCCCGCCCCCCTGCAGCCCACCCACCAGGGTTCTCCCCCCTAATTAGCAGGCGCGTCCCGCCCTGGGAGAGCTGAATGGGCCCTTCTGCCGGGCCCACAGTGTCCCTTTGTGGCCGCCGGCGAGCTGGGTCCTCGGCTGTTTACTGCGGGCGGCTCGGGCTGGGCCTCGGGGCCCCTTCAAAGCTGCGCTCCGAGCCCAGGGGGAGTGGGCCTCGCTTTCCTGGGGAAAGGGGCTGGAAAAGGGCGGGGCCCGGCCGCAGACAGGCCGGCTGGCTGCTCGCAGGGGTGTGCCCACAGGGGTGTGTCCGCAGGGAGTGTGCCCACAGGGGTGTGCCCGCCAAGCCGCCTGCTCTGGAGGTGGGAGGGCATCCAGCCAGCCGGGCCAGAGGGAGCCCGCACCCCAGAGCTCCCAGCCTGAGACAGAGCAGCTAAGGAGGCCCTCCAGGGCTCCTCCCCTGGCCAATCCCTTCCCACCGCCAGAGCCCCGGTTGTGCCAAAGGGCCAGCCAGCAGGTCCTCTCCGGAGAGGGTGACCCCCCAGGGGGGCTGGGGACCCTCCCAGAGGGTGACCCCCCAGGTGGGCTGGGGCTGGGGCACAGGCAGGGCACGGACAGGTGGAGACTCCCTCCCCCACCTCTGCAACCGCTGGGGGCCTGCTCACCACCCTGCCGGCCACTCGGTCACTGCCTCCCTCCACCCCCCAGGCTGGCTGTAGGGCAGCAGGCTCCGCGGGGCCACCCTCAGCTCCCACCTGAAGACAGAGCCGCCCCACGGCCTGGGGCTGCCAGCTGCAGGCTCTGCGGGGCTGTGGGCGGGTTCGGGACTGTGGGCGCGGCTGGGGGCAATTTGCTTTTACGTTTTCGAATTTCCTACAAGGAGCACCTTTAAAAGTCTTTCTCCTCTTCCTCCTCCTCCTCCTCCTCCTCCTCATCCTCATCTTGTACAAAACACATTGCATTCCCAGTGCAGTGCCAGGCCTGGGCGGGCTGCCCGGTGCCCTGCACCTCCTGCACCGCCCGCCCCTGGCACACGCTGCGGCTCCTGGTCGCCCGAGCAAAGCTTTGCGGACAGCGCCCCCTGCCGTCTGCAGGGGCTCTGGCACAGGTTTGGTTGGGTTAGGGGTGCTGGATCTTGGGGGTGAGGGGCACCTGGCCACAGCCCTGCCATTCACCCAGAGCCCAGAGCTCCCACACACACACATACAGCAATGGGCCCCCATTTGGGAGGAACTGATTCTAGGGGGAACTGAGGCACAGGAGGATCTTAAACCCGAGGGACAGTGGAAACCTCACGCTCGGGGCGGCTTTCCGGCTGTCCCTGTGGAAGCCTCCTGCGGGGCCCAGGCCACCTGCTAAGGGGTCCCAGGCTGCTGATCGGAGTCAGACCCAGACCCCCTCTGGAGCCCAAACCAGCCGCCGGGACCACTCGTTAGAGATACCGGCCGGCCTGTCCCAGGGGCTGCGCCTCGACCTAGAACCAGGAGGTCCCAGTTCGATTCCCAGTCAGGGCACAGCCCAGATTGCAGCCTCGATCCCCAGTGTGCTGCGTGTAGGAGGCAGCTGATCAGTGATTCTCTCTCAGCACTGGTGTCTCTCTCTCTCTCTCTCTTGGAAATCAATAATTCAAATATATATATTTTTTTAGGTGGAAGAGATTGGGGCTCCCTTTCCATCTCAGAGAGGAAGGTCTTCCCTACCCCCCTCAGGAAAGGCCGCCGAGAGCAGGAGCCCCAGCCCTCCACGGCGTTTCCCCAGGAGCCGGGGCTGGAGGCCACCGTGGCAGCCTTGACCGGGCTCTGCCTTGCCCGCCTCTTCCCCTGCCGTCTGCTCTGTCCAGTGATGCAAACCATGAAGCCCAGATGCTTCAGTAACGACCTGAGGGACTGGGCCATGCATGGGGCGGGGGGACGGGGGGGGGGGGGCGCTCAGGGAGGAGAAATCTCATTTGCAAGTTCATCAAGAGAAAGGCTGGGAGCTGGTAAAGCCCAGAGCTGTTACCGTGCACAAACAGCAAAGTGCTGAAATGCCTTTTACAGTTTCTCCTTAACCACTAGGCTGCTCTTGCCTGTGTGTTATTCATTTTAATAGCTCCTGGTGGAGTCTTCAGGAATCCAGCCCCCGAGCTAGCACCGAATTGGAGTGCTTTTACACCCCTGAGCTTCTCAGCCAAGTTCAAGGCAAAGGGAGCCGTGCCCAGACCCCCTTCTCCCCCCCCCCCGGGCGCACAGGGACAGCCAACTGCCCGCCCCCAGAACCTTGTCCAGCCCACTGGGCCCCAGGCCCACCGCTCACTATTTCATGGATCCCTGCCTCCTGCATGCCTCTCCCTGGGGATGAGCCCACAATCCAGGCCTGTGTCCTGACCGGGACTCGAACCCTGACTCCTGTTCATGGGATGAGTTCAACCACAGAGCCATGCCAGTCCGGCTCACTACCTCCTGTTCCAATGACCTAAGGCAAGTGTCCCTCTCTGAGCCCTGGTTTCCTCATCTGTGCAATGCCACCTGACCTTCGTGTGTCCTGTGTCTTATAACACGTCTAGCCCCTGCAGCCATCCAACCAGAAACCCACCCAGACCACAAGCCGCTGTGAGCGCCCTCCTCCCCCACCGGCTTGCACGGTCAGCCGGGAGCTCCTGCTGCTCAGAGGCTCAGGACCGGGGGGCAGGGAGCAAGTTCCCTGGAGGGCCCCGGCCACAGACACTCCCACTGCGGCATGACACAGAACAGGGCCACACGCCGTATTCGAGAGTGAAAATCAGCCCCGTCCAAATTGCCCCATACGTGTTCACAGCACACCTGGCGTGCCCAGGAGATGCTGAGGCCAGGCCGCACAGGTGAGCCCCAGGAGGCCACCCCAGGAGCTGTGCCCCCCGGAGGCGCTGAACGGCCCGCCCAGAAAGGCGATGGCCAGGGGAGGGGTGGCGTCACAGAGACTTGCTTTTTTGTTTTTTGGGGTTTTTTTTAATATATTTTATTGATTTTTTTACAGAGAGGAAAGGAGAGAGATAAGAGCTAGAAACGTCGATGAGAGAGAAACATGGACCAGCTGCCTCTTGCACACCCCCTACCGGGAAAGTGCCCGCAACCAACATACATGCCCCTGACCGGGATCGAACCTGGGACCTTTCAGTTCGCAGACCGATGCTCTACCGCTGAGCCAAACCGGTTTCGGCGAGACTTGCTTTTCAGTGTCTGTTCTTCAGAGATCACCCAGAGACCGAACTGCTCTTAGAAACAGGAAGCTAAGCAAAGCCCATTCTCAAAGACCTGCAGAGCAGCAGTCAGCACATGCATGTTGATCACAAAGCTGACGTCTTAAATATCAGCTTTAAGTGTAAAGAAAAACTGAAAATGAGTATTTTTTACAAATTATACCAACACTGAAAACGTAATTTGGGAATGTTGAAGATTAATTCTTCATTCAAAATAATGACACGTCTTGGTGTTGGCTAATGTCAAGTTTATTTAAACCTTGTACCTTATATAAGCTTAACCATTTAAGCCCTCCTAAAACTCAGTGATTATGATTCAACTTTAAAGGTTAAAGCAGTCTTCTATGAAAAACGACATACAACTTTTTTAAATATAGTACATCCACACCAGCACGGAACTGATAAAACCTGCAGAACCACACGGGCTTGACGAAAAGGCCGCCTATATACAGAGGGAGCATTTCACTCAGCACACACAGCCATGATCACAGTCGCCATCGCCTTCTTACACAGCAGCCAGCGTGGCCATAAATGCCCTGCTAGTGCGTGAGCTAAAAAGAACGTCTATTTGAAAAGGTCCTTGGAGACACGGGAGTGGAATGTGCCCGCGCTGAGAGCAGCGCTGAGGCTCTGAGGATGTGGCACAGCTGCCAGCCCAGCTGGCTCCGCCCCCGGGGAAGCTGGCCCCTAAGAAAGCAGGGGCCCCTCAGAAGGACAGGATGGTCTTGTTGATGATCTCCACGGCCTCCTGGACCTCGTCCTCCTTGATCACCAGCGGGGGCGCGAACCTGATGATGTCGCCGTGGGTGGGCTTGGCCAGAAGTCCATTATCGCGGAGGCGCAGACACACCTTCCAAGCGTCGTAATCTAAGGAGAAAGGCCCGCAGACGTGGTCAGAGAGAAGCCGATAACGCTCAGCACTCCCTGAAGGTCCCTGCAGGAGAGGCCTGCACACGGCCCCCCGCCCGCTCCAGCAAGGCGCGCTCTGCCCTGGTCTCGGGAAGCTCCGTCACCAGCGCAGACGAGACCGGAGTGGCCTCATCAGACTCAGCATTCTCGTCGGATTTTCATAAAGAAGAAAACTGCGAGCGGGGACTGCTGCACCCATTCCAGGGGGAGCCGGTACAGAAAGAACGAGGGTGCGACAGACTAACTAGCACAGAACGAGTGAGGCCCCAAACAGGGCATCAACAGGGCTGCACCTCCTGGCCTGTGGGAGGGGCGCGGTCATCGCTCAGGCCGGGACCCAGACCGTCAGGTCAGAGCCTGCGGGCTGGGGTGAGGCTCGAGGTCCCCATGGTTCTGAACTCCCCTCTTTGGAGGAAGCGCTGGCACAAGGAGCCCAGCCGGAGCGCTCAGGGCCCGGTGCTCCGCCTGATCCTCTAACTGAGCAGCCAGGCAGAGATGCCGCTGCCTCACGGCCTCGCCATGGCGCAGGCCCCTCCCGTCCCCGCAGCCTCTGCAGGTGAGGTCACAGCAGCGGCAAGGACGGCGGAGGCCATACCAGGCCTTTCGCACAAAAGCAGGGCAGGTGCCGCCATGAGGGAAAGACTGTTAAGTACATCAGGGGACCCGCAGCCTGAAGAGCTGGCCTCTAGGCGGCCAGGCAGCGGTCTCCGAGGAACCCCAAAACCAGACAAAACGCCCCGTGTCAGCCTTCCTGTGAGAACAACGCCTTCCAGCCCGGCCGCGTGCTCAGCAGCTGGAGCGCCGGCCCCGTACCCAAGGGCCATGGGTTTGCTTCCCAGTCAAGGGCACATGGCTGGGCTGCAGCCAGGAGATGTCTCTCTCTCACAGCTGTTCCTCTCTCCCCCTCCTCCTCCCTCCTCCCTCCTTCCTCCCACTCCCTCGGATGCTCTGGGCTGGCAGCAGCTGAAGGGAGGCCCCACCTTTGGTCTCCCGGATGACGATGGCGTTCAGCAGCCCCTTCCCACGCACGGCCGTCACGATGTCCGAGGGCAGCTTCATGAGCTCGTTCCGCAGGAGGGCGCCCATGCGGTCCGCGTTCTCCGCCAGGTTCTCCTCCTCCAGAACCTGCGGGACCCACAGCGGAGGCTCAGCGGAGAGAATGTGGGGCGTGCGCAGGGGAGGGCGAGCAAAGGCTCCAGCTTTTCCTTCTCAAGCCCAGGCCACACCCCGAGCGCAGAGCCTGCCTCATCGCCACCCACCACCAGCCTGCAGCAGGCACACCTGGGCCAAATGTGTTAACCCAACGAACACACAGCTGACTAAACCAGTGGGCTAGACAGCTTAACTTTTTACCTGTCACAGTTCACTTACACTTTTCTCTAAGAAACCCGCCTCAGGAGCGACGTAACTTTACGTAACAACTCAGATACACACGGAAAAGCGCCTTGCGCACGGAGCCAGAGGCCTGCCGGGCTCAGGGAGGCCCCGTGCCCACGGGACCACAGCCAGCACTGTGGACGGCGATGCCCGGGGGACACCCCAACGGCTCACGCCAGTCACTGCTCCCTGCCCCGTGGGATGGGTGCGCTGCCCCAGGCTCACCTCGAGGGCGGCGATGGCCACGCGGCTGCCCAGAGGGTTGCCCCCGTACGTGGAGCCGTGCTCGCCGGGCTTGATGGTCAGCATGATCTCGTCGTCACACAGCACCGCAGACACCTGGGGGAGAGTCAGTGCTGCCACCCCTCCCACCAACTCCGGGTTCCTGCCCCCGCAGCACACACCCCGAGCCGCAGACACCCTGAGCCGCAGACACCCCGAGCCTGACACCCCGACCCCGAGCCTGACACCCGAGCCGACAGCGAACCTGGCAGAAGCTCCGGCAGCAGGAGTGGCACGTCGCCACCTTCCCTGCAGACAAGCCCGCACGCCCAGCCGCCACCCGGGCACCTTGCACACGTAAGCAGCCAGCCATGCTCTGCCTCTGACAACCGGAGAGAGCATGGGGCCCACAGGGACACCTCCGCGGTGCGATGTCCAACCAAAGCTAATGCCGAAGCCAAGCCCACGGCCCACCGATTCTGCGGTTACAATTGACCAGTGGGTCGCCCACGGGCGGCACGTATTACGGGTGACCGACACACCACGTGGACCCAAACCGCAGGAAAGACGGCACTGCAGAGGGAAGAGGGTACCGGTCCTCACCGGGTACAAGCCCCCGGAAAGGGCCTTGCCCAGGAGGACAAGGTCAGGCCTGACGTTTTCATGGTCGACCGCCAGCCATCTCCCCGTCCTGGCCAGTCCCGTCTGTATCTCATCGGCGATAAACAGGGCCTGTGGGAAACCACACCAACGTTATCATCTACCTCCTTCCCCTAGGGAAATAGTGACCGTCATTCCCTGATCCCCACACAGAGGATAGTGAAAACGCTGTCACCAGCCATGCAATTTCAATCGTGTGCTCTGAGCCCTGGCCAGTGCGGCTCAGTGGGCTGGGCACTGTCCTGTGTACCAGTTACATACCAGTTGCCAATTCCATTCCCAGTGAGGACACAAGCCCAGGCTGGGGCCCAATCCTCAGTAGGGGTTGTTTATGTAGGAGGCAGTCAATACTGTTTCTCTCTCCCTCTCTCTCTAAAGATCAATAAGAATGTTTCTTTGTAGGAAGTGTGCTATGGAATTTCAGAGGGAAGGCGGGGTGTGGAGATGGAGAGGAGTGATTAGCCGGGGAACTTACGTACATACTAGAGGCCCGGTGCACGAATTCATGCACAGGTGGGGTCCCCCTGGGTGGCCTGCAGGGATCAGGCCGAAACCCAGTCCAATGCCGCCTGCAGCTCCTGCCTGCCGCCCCGCTCACCCCGGCCCCTGCTGCAGGCTTGCGCCTAATCAGTCCGATCAGGAGCGGCTCCCGCTGCCCCAGCAGCGCTCACCAGCCATGAGCCCTGCGTCTGGTCCCCTCCCATGGGGCGTGGCCTGCAGGATCGGGCTGAAACCAACTCTCTGACATCCCCCAAGGGGTCCCAGATTGAGAGAGGGCGCAGGCCAGACTGAGGGACCCCACCGTTGCATGATTGGGCCAGGGAGGGACCATGGGAGGCCTCCAGGGCATGTTCGGCCCATCTCGCTCAGTCCTGATGGGCCAGACCCCAGCAGCAAGCTAACCTACCAGTTGGAACACCTGGCCCCTGGTGGTCAGTGCATGTAATAGCAACTGGTCAACCGGTTGATTGTCTTCCCCCGGTGGTCAGTGCATGTCATAGCAAGCAGTGGAGCAGCCTTAATACATTAGCATATTAGGCTTCGATTGCTCAGTTGTTCTGCCATTCAGTCTATTTGCTTATTGCCCTTTTATTCCATAGGACTAGAGGCCTGTGCACAGAATCCATACACAGGTGGGGTCCCTAGGCCTGGCCAGTGACCAGGGCCAATCAGGACCTTCCGGCTGCCAGCTGGGGCCTTCCTTCCCCAGCTGCCGGGTGCTGGCGGGGGCTTCCTTCATTCTGCACTGCCCCCTGGTGATCAGCACATATCACAGCAAGTTATCAAACTCCGGTCTCCCGGTCAAACTCCCAGGGGACACTTTGCATATTGGCCTTTTATTTACATAGAATACATGCATAACCCACAGACACAGACAAAGTGGGGAAGGCCTGGGAAGTGGGCACGTGGCAGAGGGGGTCAATGGGAAAGAAGAAGACACAAGCAAAGGGACATCTGTAACACTTCCAACAACGAACATCAAATAAAAAGATGCTTTAAAAAGAAAAGACAGACGTGTGCTCTGAAACTGGACTCGCCACGACTCCTGGGCTGGCCCCAGCCCCAGGCCATCCGCTCAGTCCCCCAGGGAGGAGAGGAACTAACGTCAGGTAAGGCCTTTGAGGGCTTTCAGAACAGAGCTAATCTCTAGAAACAATTAATTCTCTTGTTTATTCCACCAACAGTTATTAAACATCAACTTCCTATTAAATATTTGCTAGCTTGGTGGGAAGAGGCGGAGAGAGCTTGAATGCTGGCACAGAGGACAAAGGTTGGGAGGGATCGGGGCAAATGCTGAGAAGGGGGAGGGAGGGGGAGTGGGGGCCCCCGGTTTCCACAGCCATAAAAGTGGGCTCTGGGCCAGCTGCTCAGAGCTCTGAAGCTCCAGGAAGGATGTCTCCCCCTAGCAGAAGGTCAGGCACTCTGCATGTGTCCCCGCTGAACCCTGAGACGCAGGCAGGTGAGGAAAGGGGGTGAGGCAGGTGAGGAAAGGGGGTGAGGCAGGTGAGGAAAGGGGGTGAGGCAGGTGAGGAAAGGGGGTGAGGCAGGTGAGGAAAGGGGGTGAGGGAGGGCAGCCCACCTGGTGCCTGGTGCAGAGCTCACGCACGCCCACCAGGTAGCCTGGGTCGGGGACAATGACGCCCGCCTCGCCCTGGATGGGTTCCACCATGAACGCTGCCACGTTTGGGTCCTGAAGAGCGCGCTGCAGAAAGCATGTGAACGCACGTTAGCCACTCCCTTCCCAACCATTTCACTTCTGAACTCACAGTGCACGTATACAGCTTCCTGGTAAGAATAAGCATACACGTTACGTTTTCCCACTAAATTATATTCTAACTTCAAACTATAACACTTCTGACATTCAATTACCAAAAACTCCAGCACTTCAGCCTGAAGTTATTCTTACATTTTCTAGTATATAGTAAAATGTTACTAAAATTAGAGAAAATGGCCTTTGTAAAAGCCATTTTAAGTGAATCCTCCATTGAAGAATCCTCCGCTCACATTTTTAAAAAGCTAGCTGAAAACTGAGTGGTTTTATCTACCAATGGAGCAGCCACTCTGCATGTTAACACTCACACAGGACACAACCTAGCGTGGCTGGCTGGCTGGCGGGTTAAACCACGGACCTCGGTCCCCCCACTGGAAACCAGGGACCGTCACAGAGTCCGAGTCCTGGCCGACTTAGTGAGATGGGTGTTCTCGGTCACATGACCATGTGTAACTCACACACACACACACACACACCAAGTTTAAGCCCATTTACTGTGCACAGGCAACGGCCGGTACCTCAAGAGCGGGCAGGTCGTTGTAGGGAATGATCTCGAACCCTGGCATGAAGGGGCCGAAGCCGTCGTAGCTGCTGGGGTCTGTGGAGCTGGAGATGGCGGACAAAGTCCTGCCCCAGAAGTTCCCAGCTGGAGGAGAAACAGTGATTACTTCCACCCCGCGTTACAAGCAGCCCCAAACGCCGTAGCAAGTCTGAGTCCTGAAAGCCCAGGCTTTGCCGGGAGAGCTTCCAGGAGCTTCCGCTGTGACAAAGCTGGTCTGGGACCGCATGGTAACGGGACACCAGGCCGCCCTGCGAGTGCCAGGCAGGCGCTTCACCAACACCCAGCACAGAGCAGCCGGGCAGATGCTCCCCCAACCACCCGGACCCGAGGCCCACGCCGACACCCAGCCCCCGAGCACCCGTGGAAACGTGTGTGAGGGCAGCTCCCCGGGTCTCCCAGCTCCCCTGTCAGCAGCCACGCCTCCGCCGGCTGTTGTGGGGTGAGTGCGCACACACACACACACACACACACACACACACACACACCCCGGCGCGCTGTCGCTGGGGCCGGCCTGGCACAGAACCTCCGCCCTCGGGAACTCGTGAGAGTGAGAGAAGGAGCCCAGCTCTGGGGGCTCTGCTCCGGGGGCTCACAGACAGAATGGAGACTGTGACTGCACGCCTGGCCCCGGGGTCCACGCTCTAGCAGGGAGAAACACCGTGACACACAGCACACGAGAGCGCCCTCCACCGGGTAAATGCGAGGAAGAGAAACAATGCGGGTCAGAGAGTGACTTGGAGGTTCTCTTTTCTTTTAAACGGTGATGTGTCACTCTGTGTTTTTCAATGATGTCAGAGAGGAAGGGAGAGGGGGGGAGAGAGAGAGGGAACCATCAATGAGGAATGGCTGCCTCCTGCAGGCCCCTCTGGAGATGGAGCCAGAAGGTGAGCTCTCAAAGCTCATAACATCACTCGCCCTCGGGAGAGGAGTGGGAAGTTACTTAGGAGAGAAAAATCTCGTATGTGAACAATATTTGGAAAGAAACCCAAGAAAAGAAAATGTTTATGAAACATTCAGCCAGTCCTGCATCACCCCCTGCAGGAAGCGAGCACATCAGGGCACTCACTCCATCGGGCTCAACGCAGTGTGTACAGTGTGTCAGAGGCGAGGGCACGGACCTGCGAACAGGATCTTGGCTTTGTACTTGGGAATGCCCTTCACGGTGTAGCCCCACCGCCGCGCCAGCTTGCAAGCCGTCTCTCCGGCCTCCACACCTACGAGAGAACGGCGTGGTTAAGGTGCTGGTGGCAGCCGGGAGGACCCTGGCTGAGGCCCGCAGCTCACCGGTGTTCATGGGCAGGACCTTGTGGTAGTTGAAGAGCTTGGTCACGTACTCCTCGTACTCGCCCAGCACGCTGTTGTAGAAGGCCCGCGATGTCAGCGTCAGCCGCTCCGCCTGGCTCTTCAGCGCCTCCACGATCTTGGGGTGGCAATGGCCTTGGTTGACGGCGCTGTACGCACTCAGGAAATCGAAGTACTTCCTGCCTTCCACGTCCCACAGGTAGATCCCTGAGACGCACAGGGACGGATTTAGAAAAACCGCAAAGCGGGGAACAGATAAAAATCGGAATGACTTTAGATAATCATACAAAGTTGGAAAATTAAAACTGCCAGCGCTGTGGTTAAGGCATGTTTTAGTTCAATTGTAATACACTCTGGTTTATAAAAAAAACCTTCTATTGTATCTGTCCAGCTTCAAGTTAACATTGAACAAGAACAGCAAAGCATAAAAGGTTTCATAAACTCCAGAGTAAAAGCTTTACTCCTACAAAACGGGAGTTTGCAATTTAAAGTGAGAATTTCAAGGTGGAAGATAACAAAAAGTCACGATTAGTTGACTGTAACAACCCATCAGGTAACAAATCATTTACCTGATCGGGAGCTAGTATCCAGCACTCATCCAAGACTTACAACGCAGAGGAAAAAGGGCAAAGAACCTGAGCGGACATTTCTCCGATGTAACTGGCACACAAACACATGCAAATGCCCAAGGGCACATGGACAGGTGCTCCACATCGAAATCGCTGGAGAGACGGAAATCCAACCACAGCAGCAGCCGGCTGTGTGGTCAGTGGTTGAGCATCAACCCTGAACCAAGGGGTCGCTGGTTTGATTCTGTCAGGGCACATGCTCGGGTTGCAGACTCGATTCCCATAGAGGGCGTGCAGGAGGGATGTTTCTCTCTCTCTCTCTCTCTGATGTTTCCATCTCTCTCTCTCTCTCTCTCTCTCCCCCCCCCCTACCCCCTCTCTAATAATCAATAAAAACATATTGTTAAGCAATCACAACAGCATTCACACCCAGTGAGAAGGTCATAACTTTTAAAGGGAAAGCCAGCGTTGGCAAGGTGGAGAGAAAGCAGAGCCGTGCCCTGCTGATGGAGGCAGCGGTGCGGAGAGTCCAGCAGGAAAACTTCCGCCCCGGTGGCAGCTTCCTCCTCTGCGTCTGAGGGGACAGTGGCAGCTGGCCCAGCCTTTACCTGCATCTTCCTTCTGCTGGCCAGGAGCTCCCCACCAAGACCGACCGAGCTCACCCCTGTGCCCCACAACACCCAGCCCAGCGAGCAGCGACCCCAACAAGCGTGAGCTAACCTCATCCACAACAGACACTGAAGGACGCTGGGAAATGCACACGGAGGAAACTAAGAGCGATTTCTACACGAGGTTTCAAAGCGAAAACGGAGTGAGTTCAATACGTGCCTTTCCCTCGCTCCAGGGCGACAGGTAAGGGGTGGTAGTTGTGAGCGCCATACTTGGATTCGCGTTCAAACACATAATCGGAGGACAGAGGGCCTTGGACCGTTTTCTTAGCCGCCACCGACGTAGCAGAGGCCGCCGATGTGTGAGCGCCCCGACAGAGCCCCACCACAGCCTGCAGACGAGCGAGTTTGGAGAGCATCGTGTCCTTGGAGAAGGAATGACCCACCTGGTCACAGAAGGGGGAGCACCGAGTCAGCATCCTCCCCGTTGGGGGATGCTGACTCACTAAACATCACTGAGCATGTGCCGTCATCTACCAAGAAACCAAGAAATGAGAGCACCCTGGCCAGAGTGCTCAGTGGTTAGCGTCAGCCTGAGCACTAAAAGGTCAAGGTTCGGATTCCCAGCCAAGAGCACGGACCTGGGTTGCAGGTTCATTCCGGCCAGTAAGGGACCGGGGGGCAGGCAGCTGGCCGATGTGTCTCTCACATCAGTGTTTCTCTCTCCTCCCTTCCCGCTCCCCCCACCCGCCATTCTCCCTCCGTTGCACTCCCTCTGAGACTCAGTGGGAAAACGTGCCCTCAGTGAGGGTTAGAACGTGAAGGAAGGAAGCAGACTAGAGCACAAACCTCCGGGAAGCACAAGGTAAGCACGGGAGCAGCACGTGAACACTGACAGTCACGGCTGACACACACTGCGGTGGACGGACACACAGACACTCTGTGTCTGACACGCACTGTGGTGGATGGACATACAGACACGCACTGCGGTGGATGGACACACAGACACTCTGTGTCTGACACGCACTGTGGTGGATGGACATACAGACACGCACTGCGGTGGATGGACATACAGACACGCACTGCGGTGGATGGACACACAGACACTCAGTCTGTGTCTGACACGCACTGTGGTGGATGGACATACAGACACGCACTGCGGTGGATGGACACACAGACACTCAGTCTGTGTCTGACACGCACTGTGGTGGATGGACACACAGACACGCACTGCGGTGGATGGACACACAGACACGCACTGCGGTGGACAGACACACAGACACGCACTGCGGTGGACGGACACACAGACACTTAGTCTGTGTCTGACACGCACTGTGGTGGATGGACACACAGACACGCACTGCGGTGGATGGACACACAGACACTCAGTCTGTGTCTGACACGCACTGTGGTGGATGGACACACAGACACGCACTGTGGTGGATGGACACACAGACACTCAGTCTGTGTCTGACACGCACTGTGGTGGATGGACACACAGACACGCACTGTGGTGGATGGACACACAGACACGCACTGCGGTGGATGGACACACAGACACTCTGTGTCTGACACGCACTGCGGTGGATGGACACACAGACACGCACTGTGGTGGATGGACACACAGACACTCCGTCTGTGTCTGACACGCACTGTGGTGGATGGACATACAGACACGCACTGCGGTGGATGGACACACAGACACTCAGTCTGTGTCTGACACGCACTGTGGTGGATGGACATACAGTCAGGCACTGCCGTGGACGGACACACAGTGCCACGGGCTGGGTCCACTGAGTAAGCAAGATAAACAATGTGGGTACTTCTCAACCCACCACCCCCCGTGCAGCTGGTAGTAACACACACACACACACACACACACACACACACACACACTTTTAAGTCCTTGGTGCTGGCAGTGCATCAGGGACAAGAGCACCCTCTGGGGATCAGGCTGGGGGACCCACCGGCAGATGGAAGGGCTGGTGCTGACCTTAGCCTGCCCCCCCCCCTCCCCCAGTAAACCCCGTGTTCGGGAATTAGGAAGCCCAGCGCTCACCACCACTCACCAGCTGCCCTTCCTTCCGCAGTTCAGATGCAAACAGACTGTGAAGCGGAGACCCAGGGGCCCAAGGATTCCTGAAATGAGACGCAGAATGGTCAGCATGGCTGGGGAGGAGGCCCCTCAGGTGCATCAACAACAAAGACAGTCACATGAACATGTCAGCCGGCTCCGGCCGGGGGCTCGGTGGCTGAGCACCTCCCATCGCCCGCAGATCATCAGGTCCCTGCCGGTCAGGGTACAGAGCCAGGGCGGGCTCCCCCCAGGCGGGGCGTGCAGGGAGCAGCTGGATTAATGTTTCTCTCTCACCAATGATCTCTCTCTCCCTCTAAAATCAATAAAAATATATTTTTTAGAGAAATTGTAACGGAATTGAGATGGACTTGAACTAGTCAGATCAACAATCTCCTCTCCCAGAATGCCGGGGAGACGGGGGAGCGGAGCCCCTAAGCTACCCGTGTCCGTCTGAGCATCCTGAGCTCGCCAGCCCTGCGGGCAGAGTGAGGAGTGAATGCGATGATTGAATGTGAGTGCCAACCCGGTCAGGTGGCCACTCCACCAGGGCCCTCCTCCTCCACCTGTAACAGAATTGGCAACTTCTACAAGGTACGTACTAATAGCCGTGGCTCCTACTTTTAAACTAGAGATTTTCTTTAATGAGAGTAAGATGTTTCTATTGATAGAAACACAGACAATTTTCAGCAATTCCACACTTTGGAGATAACCACTGAGCTTATCTGCAGAAGAACTACAGAGCTGCGTCTTTTCACCTCCTCCACAGACTTCACCACAGAAACCCTCCTGGGCCCTCCCAGGTCACCTCGCACAAACTCTGTCCCCGGTCCTGCCCTCCCCTACTCCCTAAACCCCCAGAATCCCCTAGGCTCCTGAAAAGGACAACCACCAGGCATGACATTCCCCCCGTCTCCCCAGAACCTAGCCTGGCTGGGCATCCTGCGAGCGCTGCCGTCAAACGCCTGAGGCCAGAGGAGGCACACGCAGACTCAGGACCCCCAGGGTGTGCGGCAGCGAGAAGGGCCCTGCAGGGCTAAGCCATCCGGACACGCTGGGGCAGCCCTAAGGGGAGACCTTAGATTGTAAGTGACTAATCTTTCCATCGAGTTCACTTCAAATAAATACATAAATAAAGTTTAAAAAGCGTTCGCTCAGGCCTGGCAGGTGTGGCTCAGTGGTTGGGTGTCATCCTGTGCACTGAAAGGTCACCAGTTCGGTCCCCGGTGGAGTACAGGCTGGATCCCCGGAGCCAGGAGGCAGCTGATCCAGGCCTCTCTGTCTCCCTCTCCCCTTTCCCTTCCTCTCTCTAAAACAATAATATATGTATATTATTTTAACATGTATATTTTTTAAAAGAATTCACTCCGTTAGATTTAACGACCTTCATGTGTACAGATGTGAGCATGCCAGGCTAGTGTCATGCCTAACCACACCCAGGACCTGAAGAAGAGAAAAAAGTTGCTCTTGACCGCAAAAATGTTCACCTCGCATGTTTTCAGCAATCCATGGAATTAACAAATCCTTCTTCAAGACACTAAATTACTCTCTCCTGTCTAATCCCTCCTATTTTCATCAGAACATACCTAAAATAGAACTTCCACAAAGGCTGCATTTTGAAGTTAATGTAGCATACACTAGGAAATATTTTTTTAATTCACTGGGGGAGGGGGGGGACACTGTAAATCCAACAACAATAACAAAAAAAAAACAAACCTTGAACTATCCACTTGAATAAATTTGGCTTACTCTATTTGTCCAATATTTACTTTTCTTGAGGTAACCATTCACAACAAACAGAGTCCTTTTCCAAAAGTCCTGCCAGTAAGTGCTGGGCTTTTACATAACCTGGCAGCCGCTCAGCTGAAGTGCGTCACTGGCAGCAGCACTACTGACAGAGACTGGCTCAGCCAGACAACACCCTCCACACACCCCCAGCCGCCCATTCATCACTCCCGGACGGACTGCCCAGCTTGTGTGGCTCGAGGTCACCGGCTCAATCCCAGGCACATGCCTAGTACGGGGCCTGCAGGAGGCAGCTGATCAATGATGTTTCTCATTGATGTTTCTATCTCTGCCTTCCTCTCTCTCTAAAAAAAAAAAAAAAAAAAAAATCAATAAAAACATACACGTTTTTAAATGTATAAGATCAACCCATCCTCACAAAATCAGTCAAGGGTGGGGGAAATACAAATAAGTCAGCCTCTTTGAGGGGAAAAAAACGCTTTTAAGAATTTTTACCATTTAAAGATCACTGGGTTTTGGAAAGTAGAGGATGAAAAAGTAATCTCAAGCATCATAAAAAACTGTAAACCCAAAACAAGCAACTTTTTCACTGAAGTCTCGTTTTTTAAAATAAAATTTAAAAAAAAAAAAAAAAAAAAAAAAACCTTGGCTCCTGTTCTCTGCAGGAGCCGGTGCCCATGAAGGATCTTTCATTCCTGTCCAGTGCTCCTTTCCGGGGTGAGAGGAGGAGTTAGCTCCTGCGCCTCAGAGCCTGGAGCCGACAGAGCCCCCTCCTGAACCCTGGAACCTGGAGTGAGGAGCCCCCAGCTACAGCCTTCACCCCAAAGGCACTGCTTAACCCCCTCGGGTGTCACCACGGACCCCTCAGCTCAAACCGGGCCCCACGAAGGCCAGCGACCTGGGGCCAGGGGGGCGGCCAGGGGGGCGGCCAGGGGGACGGAAGGACCGGAAGGGCCCCGGCGCCCCGGCACCTAACCTCGGGGACCCACTGCGGGCGGCTCCGCCCCGGGGGGTCCGATCGGGACCGCGGCCGCAGGAAGGGGCGGCGGGGAGCGGAGGCCGCAGGTGGGCCTCAGGCCGCACGGAGCCGCCGCTACCGAGTCCTCGCCGCGTCCAGAGCCGCCCAGGCCGGCCTCCGGGGACGGGTGCCGGGTGCCCGCGGCCCGGGGTGCCCGAAGCCCAGGCCGGCCTCCGGGGACGGGTGCCCGCGGCCCAACGCCTCCTCCCGGACCCGGGCGCGCGGACACGCCGGGGCTCGGGCCGCGCCGCCCGCCGGAAGGCGGAGGTGCCACGTCCACAGCCTCCGGCCTCCCTCCCCGCGGCCGCCGGGCCCGTGGCGCCGCCGGAGCCCGCCGCCCGCGGAGGCCCAGCGCCCCTCCGCTCCCGGGCCCGCCGGGGCCGCCCGCGCCCCCCGCCTCCCGCCGCCGCGGGGACCGGACCCGCCGCCCGGCCCTGCCCGCGCGGGTACCTGGCGGCGCCTCGCTCCCCACCAGCGGCTGCGTCCCGGCGGCGGCGGCGCGGCGTCACGCACTTAAGACGCGGCGTCCGCCACGCCCCCGAGAGGCCCTCGCCTCCCATTGGCTGACGCGGAGGGCCGCG